ATTCGATGTTCATATCGCTTCGTATTATTGTTTTATTTTTTGTGAAACTAACTTTTTTTATTTTATAGAGAATTATATAGAGATTAGATCTTAAACATAACTATCTAATGTAATATTCGTATATTGGTAATATATTAATACATACAGCAAATTTGTATACATTACATTTTATGATAAATAAAAAACAGAGAAAAAATCCGATGCAAAAATTTTAAGCAACGTGTTCCAATTCCAACTTTAAGTTGAAGTAGAATCGTTGATGTCTTTTACACCAATCGTTGACATAGTACAAGTTTTACACACGACAACAACAACAATAAACACAAATGTATATTCGTACCAAGTACTACACGGAAACATATTGTTTGTGACACACGTAATATAATTGGAAAAACCTAAGTGGTTCGGTTGCTGCTTTTAATTAAATGTCGGAGTTCAATAAAGTTTTTATTGCCGGCGCGTTACCGATCGAAGATCTATATAATAAACGTCGATACCTGGAAACACGCACGCGCCGAAGGTAGTTCCGTGTCGCTTGACGTCCGGCAAACCTTCGACGTTTCCGAACAAATTAGTGTTGACTATGGGGGGAGGGGGGAGGGGGCGAGCGGCGTGTTCGCAGTTCGCACGCCGCGAGGTCGCTGTCTTTTTACTCGCATTACCTCCTGACATTCGAACTTAATGGAATTGCTTTATTGAAATTTAAACACAACGAGCGCCGACGTAATGGAATAAAATTAGGTTATCGTAACAACAAAACGGTCCTCGAGTGGCCATCTTTAAGCTCACGCCGGTCCAATAAGAATTCGAAACATTTATGAAAAGGAAAGACGCATACGTAAGACTGTCTCACTCTCACCATTGCTACGAGCTTGTAGCGCGAAAGGAATAGGTGTAGGAACACGATGCTATCGACGAATAGTCATTGTTCTTGGTCGTTATGGAACAAAATAAAGACAGAGCAGCGGTATTCGTGACTCGAGACGAAACTATAGCAACGGCGGCGTGCGACAAGGACGGCCTATAAGGTTTTTGGGTCGATGTCCGGACGAAAGAATTTAAAATTGGATTTTATAAAAAAGGCATTTAGAATATAAAAATTACCGAGGCACAGTTTAGTAACGATGTAAAGGTCAGTAATATATTAGCTTTTGTTCAAACACAGACAAAAAAATGTGAGACAAAAACCTGTCTATGATATAAATAAACTAGAATTCATTAAAAAAAATCTCTAACATGTTTACATAATAACATAATTTAATAGAACTATTTGTTAAAATCGTAATTTTAACTACAACTAACTACAACAGCAATATAGGTATATTTCATTAGTTATATCTATACATTTTTAATTTCTTTATTTATTTATAAAATAAAATCTTTGATGTAACCTGTTTCAATCAAGTAAGGAAAGACATCGTAGTGACGTAACAGGAGTGAGTCTGAGGACATTGCACCTCTTCCCACTTCAGAGTCCGGACGGTGACCGTTCCCCCCGCGTACCGTTACGACGTCCTTGGCTGAGTTCTGTGGCGCGGGCGGAGCGGGGGGCGCGCGGCGGTCGACGGGCGGGTGGCGGGGGGCGCCGGGCTCAGCAGGTCGCTCTCGACCCGTTCCGCGCGGTTGCCGCAGCGCGCATGTGTGCAACTCACGTCCGCGTGTGTCGCACTTGCACGCGCCACTGCGCATGTGTGCGTCAATTGAATTACTCCTAACGGATATTACGGAATTCGTAAGATAAATGCCACGAATATAGAGTAAAAATACGCACTAAATGACATTTGCATTTTTTAATAAATGCGTTAACATGTCATCTCATCGTGATGTTATAAATAAGAAAAAACGTGTATCGAATTTACATTATTTAAAAAATCTTTAAGTTATTATCAATCGTGTTTTAATAGCAGAATGATGTAAAATTATGTTAACTACATATATAACAAATCAACTGCTTTAAGAAAAAAAAATCAAAATGTGTCAAAGTATTTACGTCACTACACTGTAATTAATAGTGTGACCATATAAAAACACTAAAAATGTACTATCCTAGTTTATAGTAGCCTTTAGGTTCCGTAAAAAATAACCATTTTAAATAAATAAAGCATATGCACCATAAATTTAATAATGTAACTAATAATCACAAGATGAATTTTTATTGTCGATTAAATTCTATAATTATAAAATTAATTTCCTGTACAAAAATGTAAGGCTAAGAGCAAACTAAGAAATCAAAATAGACCAAACTAATTACATCTATCGAGCTTCATAATGGCATTTGTATGAGGCGCGCGGCCTTGCGCTAGTGTATTTGTTGCCAACAATGCACTCACGTGCTCAATAGCTATAACAATTTCGAAACTATAACTGTTAAAGGTCAGTAATCAGAACCGGAGTGTCGTGAGCGCGGCGCCACCGCACCAACACCGACAATACAGCTTTAAACAATTCTACACCGTCTTTAATTACTTCGCGTATTTTTTTTACTTTAATTTTATCTCAACCAAAAGCTTTTACGATGAGGCTAATATCGCGGCTCAGTTATTGAGTGTTGAGCAAGCGAGCAAGGACGAACGTCGATCGGTAGTGCGCCGGTTGCACCAATCACTTGTAGCTTTAAAGTTACAAAGCAAAAAATATGTCTCCCTGTGTCACAGTGATCGTTAATATCTGCTCGTGTACTTTACTGAGAATATTTATTGTATAGTAAATAATACATAATCCTGTAGATAATTTATACATAAGGATAGTGCTTGTATCCGTAGCGAACGCCATGAATCAGATTAATCTACGTACTAGTAATAGACACAATAAACTTAGAAGCACACAAACATCTGACATGTCGGTACACGAAATTATGTATATTGACGAGGTTGGTGTAGTGTGCGTGCACACACGTGCAGCCCGCGGGAGGTTCAACGTACCAGTTGCCAACTACGCGAGTTCCTTGTTCCACTTAAACACTGACACTATATTATTATCGTTACAACAATGTTTAATAATTAAGGAAAAAATATTTAACTATTATTATAAATATTTCTAATGATTATAGATTAAAAAGGTTATTTAATTCATCACCTGCATGGATAATAGAGCATTGTAATTTATTCTGTCACAATATAATTTAGGATTAAATGTCAGTCAACTACAAGTATTCGTAGCTTAGAAAACCGCGAACAAAATGCCAATGTGTTCGGTTCCGCTATTCGTCGATACAAAAGACTTGAACGCGCGCATCTTACTTTTGCCCTTTTAAATTGTACCGATTTCTATATTATAGTCTAAGATGACGGCAACGTTTATTTCGTTTATTTTAAAGTTTAAGCTTTAAAAACTATCCCATTTGTATTGTGTGTATTACAATTTGCTATGTTATCTACAACGTTTTTAAAAGATTAAAGTTTTTACTTTAAAAAAATATGTAACAAAATGGCTTTTTCGTCCCTCATATCTTCTTAAATATTCCATTAAAAATACTTTATAGTAACTATAATATATTGCAAGACTTTCATTAAATATTATTATTATAAAGCAGTACAATTATAGCGAGATGTGGGCGCAGACACTTTATAAATGCATGTACATATGAATATGTTGTTAATAAAATTATACGAACGAAATCCATTAAGTGTCCAACACAATATGGAGTAGGTGCAGCGCAACGCGGAAGCGAGGGTTGACGGCGCGACTTGCACTGACGGCGATGCATCGACAACGTAAAAACACAATATTAATTAGTCCATTGCATTGTTAACAGACAAAAGTAAAGTGAAAATCGTATCACTAGACTGACTATACCCTAATGGGAATACAGGGAAGAATACAAATTAAAAAACACACACATCATTCCTCGAATGGACTAAGTCGTTGGTTTCAAGAGAGCTCAAAATAGACACCATAGGCGTACAGCACCAAATTTCATCTGTCCCAAATACGATATAAATAAAATAGAGGAAGAAACCGAATTGTTTTCTTAATATAAAACCCAATCAGGTAAACTAGTTAGCTTTGTTTTTAATTTACAGTACAGAAATTACTGCAAGCTCCCGTACAAAACACAATCACCGCAAGATAATTAATACAAGATAACGAGATGTTATCTCTTAAGTTATATTAAGAAATATGCTGGCCGCAGTGGCATTTTTTGATGGCTAAGTAAACAAAAACTGTATCAATTACACGTATCAGTGGTCAGTTAAGGCTCCAGTATAAAATGCTGTTAAAGAAATCGTTTAAACATTTCGACATGCACTTTTTTAATTCACTGGGTCAAAAACCGCGAAGCCCTTCCGTGTTGACGCGGTCAAAACGACCGTGATACAGAACACCTTCCTACGAGTTATTTAAAAATGACGTGTTATATTTCTTCACGTTAAAACACCTAGATTAACCGCACTTTCGCTTGTCTGCTCTTTCTCAGTCAGACCGCACCTCATCTTGTTTTTGTTTCAGTCTGCGGTACGAGGCTATTTATATTATCTGTTACAGAATAAAAAGGTGAACGTGTTAAAAATAACACCACATTAATATGTGTTGTTTTAATATGATTTTTATGGGAAGGAATGTTGTATCGTGTAAAGATTGATGGTTAGCTGTCACTCGATGTGAACGAACATCGATTACTTCTTCAACAATATGTCAAGAGATTGGCAGAGTTCTTCATTTGTTTTAACATATAAAATCAAAACACCAGTAAACCTAGTGAATTTTTTTTACTTAGGTTTAAGAGGTACGTTGTCATAAATTAACTTGCTAATGGGTCCAACTTATATCGCATAATAACTTTGTATTACTAAAAACGGTACAAAATAAATATGTTGAATGTTATAAATATGACATTAACATATTTATTATTGTCATATGACAGAAATTTACATAAGTACAATGCGTAAAACTAGTAGTTTATTTCAAAAAGTAGAATGTTAAAACAACGCCTGTATTTCCGACATTTATTAATGTCGAGTTTGTACAAAAATGACAGTGTTAAATAAATTGAAACATACCGTTAAAATGGCTGCTGCAGTTGTATAATCTGTAATAAAACATTTAAAATGCTGTTAATGATATGCATTGATAAATAATTAATTAAATTAATATCTACATATTAAAATACTATTTAGAAAGTAACAGCTAATTTGTAAGATCGTAATTTATTAAAAGTAATATTGTAATATCCTACATAAAAAAGTACGTTTGGGAAAATATCGGTAACTTTCCGTACTTAATTTGCACTTCTGTTTTAAATTAAAACAAGTTAAAACTCAAAAACTGCACATATTTCATTTCCAATTTATGGGCGTCATTGAGATAGGTTATTAAATCTTTGCTTAATGCGTTCCTAGCTGTTTTTCTAAAATTATTTTTTGCTCAAAAACCACGCTTTCTCTATGTTAAATGTAAATCCGTCATAATTTCTATTTATATTTATAAAGCAACAGCACCTAAGTAGGAAAAGGAGATAAAAAGCGGTCTTAATACAATTAGAGATTTGTTACATAGCGCAGTTATTCGTAATTTATGCGACTTACTCGTATGTAAGAACATTTTAGCATGCAAATATATGCGGAGTCGTTTAAAAAATGTCTATGAGCGAGAAGGCTTGCACTTGATGGAAACTGGTGCAAAGCGAAGTGGTGCAAACCGCAGAACCAGTCCTGCGACAGGAAGCGGCCTCGAGAGCCGCCCCGGCGCCCGCGCTCCTCGCCTTCCCCGCACCTGCCACCGCCGTCCCGCGCAGCCCCGCGCCCGCCGCCCCCTCAGCGCACACCTGATCCAGACAAAGCGTGTCCTTCGCGTCGTTCTCGTGACGCATACAAGTGCATTGCACTAATAATAAGGCCCTTTCCATGTCCGGTAACGTTTCTACTACTACTTACCAGACACCAGCAATGACAGAATATTTCAAATATCTGTTTATCTCATCGTAATGCTAATATACAAAATAAAATTGAAAACTTTTAAATAAACTATTAATAAATTTTACTGTCACATATTTTGGTATTGGAACCATCAATGAATGTAAAATTAATTTAATAATTGTAATAATATACGAATACACGCACAAACGAATGTAAATGTTTACACTCGTGCTTGTGTGTCAGCGAATACGTGCATTGAATGTGTGCAAATGATTTGTTCAAAGTCAAAAACATAAAACGATACTAATACATATTGATCATCAGATAATGCTTGCGATGCATTGTTATGCCAAAATAAAAACAATGGTAGCACAGCAATCGTAGCAGCAGGAGTTGCTGCGCGCACAAAGCAGCAACCAGCCGGCAGACGCCAGCCGCCAGCCGCCGACCGCCGCGCCGGTCGCATCGGACCGCCCAAAGAAACGATCTCATAGAAAGTAGAGCAAGTCATTTATTTATTCAGTGCAGCGGCGGGTGCGAGCGAGACGATGCCGCGAAACTGGCTCATTAAAATAAAAATTCGATTTCTGAGTGCAACTCGCGCGGAGCGAAATAAAAGTTTCCGACGAAATTTGCTCGAGTTATTCCAAAAAAGGTGCACGAAACGCCTCTGCAACGAGATCGGCAGATACAGGCGGAGAGAAACCGACCGCGATAGCCTGCGCGTGCGCAGCCTCCGCGAATGCTTTCGATCATGTTTACTTACATATCGTGCTGCAATTATTACGAGCTGACCTTACATACGCTACTTGCAATTCTACACTTATTAACTTTGAAAATTTTTAAGTGCATTAAAGTACGGTGTCGACGATCATTTCTTTTCCGCATTGGTGTGTACAGTGTTTTCACTGCGGCGGCCATTGTTAGAACATTACGCAGATATAGCGTTGCATTATCGGCACGATGGCGGCGGCTCTATAATCATCGTCGCGAGTCACGTTATGCGCTCGAGCATTCGCTATGTAAATACCACCATGCACGACATTGCTTTATGCTACGACTAAATGTAAATCGTTTTAATAAATTTACATCCAATCATATTCGGTTATTGATAGAATTTATATTTACACAAGCTTTATTGAAATTAAATTTTAATTTACTTATTACCCGACTCATTGTGAGGTCGCGTGATTTTAAGAGTAGAGCACGTCAATTATTATTAAATACGCGGAATTAACGAAAATCAAAAGCGACGCTGCCTTTCACCTCACAAGTCCTTTCTAGCTTTTAATGTCTGAATAAATTTTATGATTTACTGAGGTGCGTGGGCCTTGCAATGTAATGGCCCATAAAAGTGATTTTTAGCAATGTTTTATTTGCGTCGTTTGTAATTGTAAATAAACTTTTATATAATAACTTTTATTGTGTTCAATAAACCGAAATGGATCAATAAAATTTATTAATTAAACATCATGGGCATTACGTTATTCGGTTGAAATGCACAGTATTTTGAAATTTCCACTTACCTAATACATCTTGTTTAGCTCTCTACAAAAATGCATTATCAATCTTAGGTTAATATCTATCGAATATCTATTGTAAATTGACAACAAGAATGTACATACGAGTATAAGATTCAAATTAAGCGAATTAAAAAAAAAACATTTACTGAACATTCAAAACAAAGTAACATTGTCTTGTTTGCAATAATTTTCTTGTAAATATGTTTCTGCTTTATTTAATAACTGTGATTTCTTTTATTAAGAAATAACCAAGAACATTGTTTAACGAATAACACAATACGTCTTTAGTAATAATCGATATCAAAAGTTTTGATAATAATAAAAATATATATCTGAGACTGTAATATAGAACAAAATAATATCCACGTGTTTTCATAAATTATGGTGTCAACATTCAAACCGGAGACATGCGGAGGCAAGTTGTTATCATTGAGAATGACTTAAGTTGTTCAGAAGGTTGCTGGCCCTAATATTTGGTTCAAGTGACTTCTTTGTACATTTCCTTCCTGTTCCATTACTTAGTATTAGTTTTAAATATTCATTTTTATACTCTCAATATTAAGTATCGATAATCAATATTATTCACATTGTAGTTATGGTAAAAAACTGTTCTAGAGACACCAATTAAAAACACATAATTACATCATAATATTGTTAACTAGCTGTTATAATTAATAAATAATAAAAAATATAGCCTATGTTACTTACTGATAACTTAGCTTTATAATGGTGAAAGAATTTTTGAAGTCGTCCTAGTACGTTTTGTGCTATTTCCATACGTACAAAAATATAGCCTATGTTACTTACTGATAACTTAGCTTTATAATGGTGAAAGAATTTTTCAAGTTGTCCTAGTACGTTTTGTGCTATTTCCATACGTACAAAAATTCAAATCTTTCCTCTTTATATATTTAGTATAGATATAGATAAGTGGTAATTAAAAGAAGACGATTCTACCCTTTTTATAAAAGGTAAATTGTTATCAATTAAAAGCAAATGCATAATTATCAATTAAAGAAAACTTTAGAAAAGGCAACTATGAGAAAGAAACAATAAATTATGTGATCCGAAGACAAATGGACCATGTGGTCTGTAACTGGCGCGCAGTGAGAGGTAGCTGTCATGTCAATCATGCGGAGAAACACACACTTTGCTTCTTATTTTCCACTTTTTACCATCATAATGTTTGTGTCCACGCGTATTATTTTATATAGCTTGAGTATAATATCTCATGGCGATTCAAAAGAGAAATGTATACATAAAAAGAATAAATAGGTCTACTTTTTAAAATATTATTTATTATAGGTGAAACTCGTACTAATTTAATTTAACCGTGTTTTAATTAATACTGTGACCATAAAGCTCTCAGTAAAAAACAGGATTATAAATCAAACAATTATGATTTATAACCCTATATTTTAAATGGATTGTTTCATATTTGCCTTTAACGCTGTAATGACGGATGTATTGAGAACTGACCTCCGAAGCACGACTACTTATGTCGGCCGTGTCGCTTAGCACTACACTTAATTAAGTTCCGTTTCCATTTAATTTTTTACTTCGGCTTATGACCTATTTGATTATCGATTGATCTTAGATAAGTGAAATCAATTTAATTTCTAAACAATAACTTTAGTAGTACCCACAGAAAAATACTAACTGAAATAAATGTATTGATTATGTTTCGCTTTAAGAAGATATAAGATATTCATTAAATTTTTCTGGACAATTAGGTGCTCTCATAAGTGTTAAAAAAGATAATTTTCTTCTAAAGTGAATGTGAATTATGAACATGTGGTTTCTGTTTATGTTTTTATTAGACTTTAAGAACAGGTAGCATATCTCGTATAAGTCGTTGCGGGCTGTCAACACGGGCATGCCCGCCACACCCCTCGCCCGCGGACGTTTCTACTGGAGTGGAAAACAAATGTCCCATCGTAGCTAAGTACTGCTGTACACACAACTACCTTCTAACTTATCAATTGTGTGAATGAACTAAACAAACATTTTTGTTACTTCCGTTATTAAGTTTCATTGTAAAGAGCTTTGAGAAACTTAAGCTAAGAGTTCAAATCTATATATTTAATTTTGTAATCTTTATGTTTTAACGAAGACTCTGTATAGTATAATAGTAGCTTTCTCAATCACATCTTAAGAAGTATGGTTTCTACATGGAAAGCAATTTATGTGAGAAAACGTCCAAACTTTAATGGAGATCTCAGCCTAGGTACAAACGTGTATTGGCAACAAAGAGAAACTCGAGGAGTAATATCTCCATTGATATACTGCACGGCTCGCTCGCAACACAAGCGCACTGAGAATACCTAGTTAATGATACTGACGCCACTTTCAAACAAATACACAACAAAACTTCAAAGTTACATAATTACTTACGCTAAAGACACTACTTAAAACTAAAATATTAATCAAACTTAGTATCTTTCTATCTACAGAGTTCGTTTTTTAAACGCAAATAACAGTTGCCGTAATTGTGTTCCTTGTAACACGTATAAAAATAGTACAAACGAGTGGTCGTCAATTCGAATGAACTAGTCACGTATCTCGTAAGATACTTAACATTGTCCTGGGTCCGGCTCATTGCATAATTGGACCGGTACCGGTCACTTCATAATTCTTGTCGAGCTAGGCAT